ATGCTACTCAGAGTTCATGTTCTCCATAGGGCCGGGGTGAGTATTGGAAGGGTTAGGGCAAGCACCACACAATGTATAACAGGCTGATTAATCCAAGGTCAACATGAATCGTAGGAAGTCTGCAGAATTCGCGATGCCTCTCGCTTGAGGTCACCGACACCGCGCGAGTGCTCATCGATGGAACAGGGTTGATTGCTTGGAGCTCAGGTGGATTCCAGTGCCACAATGTAACTACTAGTTCAGTGGGGATGCTAAATAGTCAAGAGTTTGAATTTCCCCTGAAGCAAACCAAAAGGGGATGGAAAGTGTTCAGTTTTACACACCTCCCATTTGGCACCCAGGTTGTTCCGATCTGCCCGTTTTTCGATATCACAAGTTTTCGATATCACAAGTCATCAGCGCCCCAAAGCCGCTTCTTTCTACAAGGGTCAATCTGGAGCCTGGAAATTCCAAGCGAACCTTCGGGCAGTTCACTTCGTGACTCTAGGAATAATAACCCCTTGGATTTATATAGATGCGGGTCATGACTCCTATGAAGAACCCCCCCTCCAGTGTTGAACTTCTTTAGAGGGTCCGAACAAGGTCGGGAGAATGGTCAGGAGGGAGTGGATCCCATGACAATGGTTATTGACCAAGTAGTTACTGAGTATCCTGTTCATTCCTTAGGTATGGGTGTCTCAAAACCAGGGAGCCCTCCAAGCAGTGGGTGTTCCTATCGGCACTATCGGTTTCTTACGAACCAAGCCTGAGGATACCAGTGGCTATGTATACTTTAGCAGTTTATACGGCTTTCACCCTGTGGGGGGGGGTATTACCTGACTTCAGTTCCTGAACGAAGGGGTTTATCTATTTGGTTTCATACCAAGATGTTTGTTTTGCTACCTTGTTGTACACCGTTGGACCAAGCATTTGGGCTGTACTACCTCAAGCTCGAAAGTGTTGGGGCAGATGTGTATTGCTGTGCGTTCTGTGGTTTGGCCAGGGTGCTACTTGTTGGTTGTGTGCAATCGCGGTTTGGACCACAATAGATTGTAGCATGCGATGTATGAAATGTCTGCTGGCTTGTTTCTAGATTGGCGTGCGTCAGGTCTCAGCGTCCCTTGTGATGGGACGGTTTGAAATGGTGACCAACAGGAAGCCTTCCATATGGGCGGGTGCCATTTGTGTGGGCGTATACCGAAGAGTTAGGCAGAAGAAGGTCAGGTGGAGGCACTGACCGGCAACATGTCGGAAACTCGTAGTTTCATGAATGGCCCAGTGGATCCATTTTTCTGTATAGCAGGTATAGCCAAGTGAGCAGACTAACAACTAGAATGAAACTGGCTGGTTGCTATAGTGGCGAAACGCCTGGAATGCAGCGGGTGGGTTTTGCCTGCACCTTGCAGAGGTGAAAGGTTTTCATGTTCGGTTCAGCGAACACTGTGTCTTGTACCTGGCACTTTGCGAGCGAAAGCCTTGCCCTGTTTCTGCCCTGGATGGAGCGTTTTCTCTGGTCTCCCTTCAAGAACCAAACAGGGGTTGGCAATGTGCTTCGAGTGCCTGTCTCTGGCATCATGCAATGGGCAGCATTCAAGCATCCAGGGCAGGTATCTGCCAACTTCAGAGGTCAGTGGGAACACTGCCCTGCAAATTCGCATCAATTCAAAGTAGGGACCCTATAAAAGTAGATTCCTCCACTCAAGTCACCTGAGACGCTGAAGGATCCACCCGTTTCTGAGGTCACCATCGTGGGAGATGTGGCGTCCAACTATCTTTGCTTGAGCCTGGGCATCTGGGACTGCAAGTGCCCTCCTTTGAAGGACGGGTGGAGTGCGTCTACTTCCTTGCTGAAAAGGCAGAAACAAACATTGGAGTATCATGGCCGTGTAAACCTGACATACTGCAATGAGGTGGGACATTTGGCATACGTATCACATGGCTGCGTCCTGTTTGAGGGCACTCTCTCTCTCTCTCTCTCTCTCTCTGGGCTTCTTGTATTGTAAAGGAAGCCGAACGGGAAACCTGCCATTTGCGCCCACATGACCCCTTTCTCAGGCGCTGACATGCAGAAGTGCAAGGGCAAGCCGGTAGACATCACCATTGCCGCAGGCGCGATCCTGAGATGCGATGCGTTGCTCCGAGCTAAACCCGATCTAGAAGTCGATTCGGATGTGGCTTTTGTGGATCCACCCCCTGTAGGATATTCAAAGAGTACTAAGAGACTACGAAACATGAACCCAAAAGGGGGAATCCACAAACATCGCATCCAAACCGTTTCCTAGACTCAAGGATAGAAAGTTGGTTTTGTGTTTGTTGTTTCCTTTAACCAAGGACCAGGTAGTTTCCACCCATGCGCCAAACCCCAAAAACAGGAGACCTGCCCCTCGTTGTTGGGTTGCTTGTTGCGCCTCTGGAGATTATTCTGTCATAGGGATACGGTTCTTTGTTTTATTAATGCATATGGTTGTTCAAGGCAACATTTTGTGCACTGCTTTTGGTTGGCGTGTTGTTTATTTCTCAGTTGTTCGTCATGTTGCTGGGCTTGTGACTGCGTTGAGAGGAGACTGCCTTACGCGCTCAGCAAACACAAGACACCATACCACAGGAGACGACGCTGATTTTGTCTCAACATAGGTGAAGTTCTCAAGCATTGTTGATTTCACGTTTGTTTCCTCTTTAACCAACCCCCAAACAAGGTACCCTCAGAACAAGAGAGAGAACACAACCACACCCAGCTCATGTCGATTCCTGAAAAGCTTCATCTCGAGGGAGCCGAGGCTGGATTTGTTCTTACTAGTTCTTACAGTCAAGGCTTGGGATTGCCTTAGGGCTGAGAGTCGTCAGTTCGCCGCCAAGTATTCCCATTGAAGAGCAAGGCTTCGTGAACAGCATTCAAAAGGACGTTCTATCTAACGGATGAGTTCCATCGGAATTTGCAGCAGACCTGGATCCCAAGTTCCCTCTTTGGCCCTTGAGCCCAGAGCACGGGTCCAGCCCAGCACTAGACATGACTCGCGTTGTCAAGCTGACTTCCCGAGACTTGCTTCACCTGAACGAGCATCCAGGTACTGGCAACTTCTTCTGAACTTTGAGCTTCATCGTCCCCTGCCCACACCCTTAAATGCGCTCTGCCGTGGTTTGGCCCTTGTTTTCCACCCTCCTCTCGCCTTCTCGAACCAGTCGCTTTCGCCCGATGGCTGACGTCTCCAATGGTCTTTGATGGATCGCGTAGGCGTGCTGGGGCGGGTGGACACCACCGGCGGGTTGCCCGTGGCCCTTGAGACGCAGCTCGCAGGGTGTGGGGCCCCATCCGGGGGCAGCATTTGGGCCCTCAACGGAAAGCGCCATAGATGGTTGGTTGAGTAATATGGGTTGTAAGAAAAGGGTCAACTGGACAGGGAAGCCCCCGCCTTTTCGCCGTCAGAGGTCCAATGATTGAGAGGGCCTTCCAGGTCGCAATTCAATCCCCTGGAATGGTGGGTGAGTGCCAAAAAAACGCGTGGAACCCACGAGAAAATGTTAGCTAGACCGCCTGAGGGTATGAACTTAGCTATTTGGGGCTCGTGTTGACAGATTATTTCACCGCGAGTGGGGGAAGCTGGTGTTTCCCCACAAGTCGGAAGCACATATTTAAAGGGGATACGGGATACTTGCCCTGGTTGATTGTTTTGTACAACAGTGGTTAAGAATATTAGAGTCAGACTCCATCCATATTCTATGTTTGCACTTGCTTGGTCTTGCTTTGGGTGAATTACTGGGAACGCTATGAACGGCGGGCAGCAGAAAAGTCTTCGAGGCATGTCCAAGTGGCTTATTCTAATAAGAATCCTCAAGCACTTGACGCGCTTATGGAGCACTTAGTTGGAGATGGTCAAGCCAACTATGTCGCCCAGCCGCACAAACGCGGATTGGGAGTTGTCTGTTTCATCGTTTCTGCTCATCGGCAGAGCATAGTTTTTCCTTTCTTTGCCTATCGGATAAACGATGGATGCCTTGCTTCTTGATATTCGATGCCAGATAGCACACCCGGCGACATGCTCAGGGACTTCAGGTCCGTTTTCGATGCAAAGAAGGGGTCTCTATATTTCCAGATGGCGACACATGACCATTTGGGCTCATTCGGATTCCATTTCTTTGGCTTTGGGTGTCGGCAAATAGAGCCCCTGTCCAATTCCACGAGAGGGTGTGATGAAATCCGTGGATTTGCAAACACCGGACGCCTCCATATTAAGAAGATGCAACACCGGCCCCCCAAAACCGCCAAAGCTGAGGGGCCAGGGTCCTGAGTCCCTCAGTGTCGCGTGATGGAACTGTCGCGGGCCATTTCTTGGCTCAGCTCTTGGGCGATAGACAATCGCTGGGCTTCACGCTTCGTCGCCCGCGCGCCCGCGCCTAAGGGCAGCTTAGTGTTCGGTGGAAAAATAAAGCTTTCCTTGGAATACTCAAAGGGGTTCCCTTCGTAGTGGTTTCATTGTTTTGAGATTTTCGGGGACAGGCTGGGTTGCTCGTGTCGATCCAATGTACAATCCTCCTGTTGCATTGCCAAAGCTTTTCCTCTGCAACCATTTCCATCTAGCTTTTCAATTCCTAGATTGGGATGGCCCAACCCTCCATTCCAACAGCCCAGATAGGGCTCGCACTTAGATGCTTGGCCTTTGTCTTTGTTTTGCCACGAGCGATGCTCAAAAGGCACCGGCGATTGCACAACACTCAAACTGTTGTCAGCGCAGCTACGGGAGAAGTAAGTAGTTGGATGGATACTTCAGACGATTGTTCTCGCGGTTTCACCTGGCTTTGGGGTGTTTGGGCAGTTGTTTGGATTGGAAGAGTGACTGTCAAGACCACCGCGATGCGCCGAGCTCCTTTTCCCGACATGGGTGCGTCCTTGAAATGCCAGGTCTCCGGTGCCCCGATCCAAGTTTTACGCCATAGCGTTGCCATCGGCCCCAAGCATCGGTTGGAAGGATGGGCTCTGAAGGGGTTTCAAACCTCCTTGTTTCTCAAAGAGGAAACAGGCACTTCATCCATGCCTGTCTTTCTGCAGGTTGAGAAACTGGAAGTCGGGCCCGCCACGAGTTCCCTGAATGAGCAGAGGAGTATCGAGTCACTCAACAGCTGTGCTGCAAGCTCGACATTTGCCCACCAAGTGTTTCGGTGGTTGGTCAACATAATTTGCGCTTTGAGACGATCTGCGAGTTGATCTCTGGCCACCAACGCAGGAATGCGGTTTGCCGTGTCCATGTGGTATGCTTCCAGGAAGGGGATGCTCTCAGTGAGTACTGGGTTTGCTGCCAAGCCACACACGCGAACAGCGCGAGGTTTCAAAGCGACACTTTTTGGCTGATCCGCGAATGAGCCCGGGAGCTGAGTCGGAACGGCGGGGTACCCCTCAAAGGAACATGGGCGGAAGTCTTCCCCATACGGTCCCCCCCCAAAACCACGCGTTTAAGTCAAGTTGAGCGGCTGCCCCTAAAGGTGCTCTGCTTTTGGGGAAACTATCAAAAAAGGGAAGCGCGAGGAAGGCGCTAACCAAGAATCAAGTCTTCCTACAACAGATTCCACATGTTCGCTTGAATGTTGGTCCTGGCCATCATTGCTTTTGTAGAGTCCGGCGAGCAAGCAGATAGGCATGGCATCTGTGCCACCCGGGCAGTGCCTTTGACAAGTGCTCAGAAGTCAATGAGGCGTGAGGGCAGAGACATGTGAGGCGCGAAGTTTGAAACGTCAGTAGCAACAGTAGTGCAAAAGTAGGGGCCCAAGGATATGAAAGGTGAGCCACGAAACTAGGACAGCTCTCATATGTATATATAAGTGAATGACCTTGTGCTTCGGCCAGCGGAAACTGATCAAATCATGGCGTTTGCCCTGCACCAAAAGCTGAAGTCGGAACTATGGTAAGCCACTCATTGTGATGTTAGACTGCCAAAGAATTGAAGCTGAGGATTGCTTGTGGAGGATTCAAAAGTAGCCTTATGGGACCTGGTGCCGCTGTGTTTTCCATTCTTTTTATGGAGTACGAAGAGGAGTCCATGGTTTTGACCACTCCCCACGTTTGAACCTGTCTTTGCCACCCTAAATCCGATGGCAAGTTTTGCCTCCAAACGCGCGCCCTCTGCATTGAGTCTTGGGGTGCGGCCGTGGGCAGTTGTTTTTGAAGAAACCAATGGCCATTGCCACAACAAATTTCAGCGAACTACGTCCAACCACAAAACCCTGGCAAGTTTCGGGGAAGCGCAGGAGTTCTTTTGGTCCCCAACTTGGCATGAGCGTGTCTCTTTTTGAGGGTACGTACCCCTTTCTTGTGGTTTTTTAGAGGGAAGCCAAACAAAAACCAATGACTTTGGGGGTTCCCTATTTTGAGACATTCCCATGGGGGCATTCCCATGATGCACAGCGGTTTGCACCCATCACTTCATGCCTTCGTGCCGGCATTGGCTTAGTCATGAGCAATGCCAGCAGAGAGAAACCAAGCCACAACATACTGTGGATTGACGAAACATCCTGCACCACTTTGAAGTCATGGGAAACCAACACGTTTGTTGGTAAGCCAATTGAACTCGGATACAATCCTTGGCAGGGCCTGAGGGGACTTGAATCCAAGCTGCATGTCACAACATTTTGACCTTTTGCATAGATCGCCGATGTGTCGCCAGCTTCGCCCATGCAGAAAACCGGCTTGGTGCTTTGCGTGGTGCTGTGCTGCTTTCTCGGCCTGCTGCGGAGTAACAATCTGTTCAGCAGCTCGGCGTGTGATTAATGGAGCAGCAGCTACTATGCCCATGAAGGTCAGGGCAGGGGTTTGGTGCTGGTCACAAACAGGCGAACAAAGGTTGCTTCAAGAAAAGGCCGTCATGCCTGCACCTACACATATTTTTGAGCCAGCACTGCTGCACACAAGCGTCTCACGCTAATCAATTCACGTTCTCTTGACGCGACTCTGAATTCCCGGCAGAGACATTCATGATGGGTAAGCTGCTTCCACCCTTTGCCGGCAGAATTGTTGCTGCCATCTTCCACCTTGCCACTTTGTCAATGGTTTGACCAAATCAAAGCTGTCGCACAAGTAGAATGTGCTGAAGCCAGACAAAGCAGGAAAATCCCTCACGTCATGAGGATTCTTTGCAAGTGTTTTCGGCTGGCGTGCGGCATGTTTCTTTGGAAGCAGGACTAGGTAAGTAGGAGATGGCACAATTCTTGCTCGAAGGGAAGTGTGTCATCTTTGACCTTGCCTAAGAGCCTTGATAGCAATCTCAGTTGAAACCAGGGATGCCTATATCAAACATCAGAATTAACATGTGTTTTTGGTTGGGCGCTAGCCTCTACTTTGGGCCAAGGCAATGCTCCCTGCCCCTGCCCGGAGAAGGCCATTCAGCAGCAGCAGCAGCAGCAGCAGCAGCAGCAGCAGCAGCAGCAGGACACGTCCACCTTTCCGACAGCCGCAGTGAAGCTTGAGGACGGAAGCACAAAGCCGGCTGGCTTCGAAGGATGAAGAGCCCTATGCCCCTTTTTTCGGGGGGAAGGGCTGAACAGAATTTTCCTTGTGGCCTTGCAAACCCCAAAAGGATAGCCTTCAATCGTGGGGTTGCCTTTGCCATGGTAGAAATTCCCACTGGAAAGCCAGAATGCAGGCCAGGGGCAACCCCTTCATGCTAGAAGTGAAAATGCCGGAGTGCAAAAGAACGCATCCTGCTGGCTTCCCTTGAGCGGAGGCTCAGCATCTTATTTGTCTAGTTCAACAAATGAATTATTGTTGGTTTTTCTTGGGAGCGTTTCAACATGTTTCTTTCTGTGTTTGGTCTTGTATGAAGACGATTGTTTCTTGAGGGATTCTTGAGGGTAGTCTGTTCAGGATCGTTTAAAAGGACACCGAGCGAATGCCGCATTACGGGTGCCCCTAAGACAGCCAGGAGGTGAAGGTCCCTGACAGCCCGGCGGTCAAAACCAGCCCGGCGGTCAAAACCGCCAGCGTGCCGGCTTTGCCGGCCAAAGTGGATCACCTGGCCTTTGCGCGCTTCCCAAAGACCCCTGGCATCGGAAAAACGAGCTCACCGCCTTTTTTTTTTCCTCGGTAAAGGCTCAAATGAAGGCCCTTGACACGGGTCTCACGTCCGGTTTGGAAATTCTTGTGATGTGGCCGGATCAGTCTTTGTCGGCTTTTCACAGAGAGGGATTCCATGTTGAAGTCTTTTGTTTGAGGCTTGGAGCCGCGTGCAGTTGCTTCAAGGCCAACCAAGCATGACACGTACCATTTGTTCGGGCATGACCAATATTCTCAAGCGACTTGACCCTGTTAATTCGGTCTGCTCAAATTTGGCAGCTGCTGCAATGTTGTTGTTTGATGTTCGCCTGAGCAAAGCTGATTTTCGAGCTGCGTGCGGTTGAATATTGGTGCCACAGCAAGTGGCGCTTTGCAATCAAGAAAGGTGAGGTGCAAACAGTCTCATGTCTCGAGTTTGCACTCCAGGTGTCTGATGGGTCCTTTAGCAGGTCGACTTTCAAAACTCTCTGTTTGCGACGTTCACTTTCGGCGGATAGAGAGAGAGGGAGAGAGAGGGAGAGAGAGAAAAAGAAGCAAGAGAGAGAAAGAGAGAGAGCGAGAGAGCAAGAGTAGAGTCAACAAAAATAACAGAGCAAGAAGGGCGGAACACAAAGAGAAAGAGAAGGAGAAAGCGAGAGGAAAAGGAAAGATAAACAAAAGAAGAAGGAGGATAATAAGATGAAAGAGAGGAACCAGAGGAACATCATGAGAAAGGGAAGCACAAAAGAGGAACCGTAAGAGCAAGATAAAGACACAGAGAGACAGAGAGACAGAGAGCAAAAGAGAACAAACACTTGGACAGCGGGAAAGAAGAGAGAGAGAGAGAGAGAGAGAGAGGCGGAAAGAGAGTAGGACAAACACAGTGAATGAGAAAGACAACGAGAAAGAGAAAGATGGAGCCAAGCTATGGTTCCAACAAGGGCTTCGGTTTTCTTTTGATTTCCTTTTAGTTCCATCTAAACCGGGTACCATCACGGAAGAAAAAGAGAGAGAGAGAGAGACACATATATATATATATATATATATAGAGGTATGTCTTGTTTCGGGGGAGCCCGCTTTGCTTGCTTCAGTACAGGGACACCTCCACGAACCCCCCAAAAGGTCAACCAAGACGCGCCTCAAAAGGTCCACCAAACCGCGGCCGGCCGCGGCCGAGCCGCGGGCGTCGGCGTGGCTCTGAGGACTGGCAGCCGCTACGCCATTCAGCAGTTCCGCGCCGTGCTGGGCAGCTCCTTGAAGGTCCTGCCCGAGGCCTTGGCCATGCGAGCCCAGGACCTCAAAGGCTTTGCCCGGTTTCCACGGGACCCAGAAACCCGGCGGGTTGCCATGCACCTCTCCTTTCTTTTCGATTTGTCGTTTTTCTTTCTTTATTTTTTCTCGGACCACCTGTCGTCATCTCCATGGTCCATGTTCATCTATTCTGCAGGGCGTCAACTTGCTTTTGCGTTCTTTGGCCAATGTCCTGCAACAAATCCTGGTGTCTATTGCTGTTTTTGGGAGGGGGTGAAACACTTTCAAAATAAGGAAACCAACAACAAGGCTGCCACTTCATGGCTACCATAATTCCGACCAATCACTTTGGGGCAAGCCTGAATTCGCAATGTTTTTAGCATGCCATTTCCTGGGGAATGAACGGGCATAGTTCAGGGAAAATAAGTTGAAGGTGTTGGTTGCCACTTTTTATGGTAGGGTAAGAGACGGGCCCCCTGCACTCCAGCAGAAACCGGTAAGCAACAACTCCACGCGCGTAAGGTGGCGTAAGCTAGTGGCGTAAGCAACATGATACAACACCGCAAATCATGACACGTTTAGGACGTGGCTGCAACAGCAAGGTTGAAGAATTCACAGAGATTGATGCTTGCCGTGGCACTTGCCTTGAAGAGATGCAATCTTCGTATATATATATATATATATATTGGTCCCCTGCGCTCCCCCCCCCAACCAACCCCAAACCCCAACCCTAAACCAATCCTACACCCTGAACCCTGACCCTAAACCAACCCTAAATCAACCCTAACCCAAAACCCACCCTAAAGCCACTGTAAACCAACCCTAAACCAACCCTAAACCAACCCTAAACCAACCCTAAACCAACCCCAAAGTAACCCTATACCCACCCTAAACCAACCCTAAACCCAACCTAAATCAGCCCTAAGCCAACCGACCCTAAACCAACCCTAAACAACCCTAAACAAACCCAAACCACCCACCCAACCACCCAACCACCCAACCACCCAACCCCCCAACCCCCCAACCCCCCAACCCCCCAACCCCCCAACCCCCCAACCCCCCACCCCCACAAGGGGGGGGGGGTTGGAGGGGGAGAAGGGGGTGTCCACGGCCTGTTCTGAAACCTGTACAGAACATAAATTCACAGTCTGGTTCCGAGAAATGAGCAAACACACACACACACACAGACGCTCGTGACATAAAGACGGCAGTGCTTTCTGTCTTGAACCCATACGAAGCACATCATACGAAGGCATAGTACTACAGGCTCGGGGGGGCGGGGGGATTCCAGGGAGGTTTCGAATTCCCCAAGCCACCTTCCAAGGCTACTCACCTTTCTACGCGCCATGAGGGGTACCCAAGTCCGTTCGACTGAGGCTTTCTCCGAGCCTTAAGGATGAGCAAACCCCAAGGACAGAATATTGGGGAATGCTGCCCTTTTCTGCTCTTCATGGATCAATGTTCTATACGTTCGGGCCAGGGTCTTCCGAACTGTACCCAGACCGCCGCTCCAACCTGGATTCCACCAAGTGCTGTTCTCTTTTGGCACTCTTGCACTTTCCAACATCATGGGGTTTCCAAAAACGTGTCCTGGCATCGGGAGCCTTTGTAGGACATTTCAGACGCGTTCCTGGTGGGTTCGGTGCGGAACCCCTGCGAGTCGTGGCTCGGTGAGTCGATTGGCGAATCGGTGTGTGTGTGTGTCTGCTGGAAAGCCCGGCAAACTGGTGTGGAACCCTAAAAAAACAGGCGTTCTGCAAGAAAGAGAGAGAGAGAGGAGAGAGAGAAAGAAAGAAGGAAGGAAGGAAAGACAGAAATAAGGAAGGAAGGAAAGAAAGAAAGAAAGAAAGACATAAAGAGAGACGTGTGCTTGTTTCTGTGCGGATGATGAAGTATGCTGTATGCTTGTATGTACATATTATATATGTATACACGGAAACCTCAGAAGCACAGCGCGTGACCTTGCTTGTGATGTGTAAGACTGCTCTCTCTCTCTCTCTCTCTCTCTTTCTATATATATATATATATATATGTTTATATATATATAGATATATCCATACACTATACGTAGAGGACTGCCGGTTTGATGCCTCAAAGTCTTTGTTTCTGCAAGCTTCCAACTTTAGACTGCTGCAGGGAGATGGCAGCGGCGTAACGCTGCAAGCAGCCGACAGAGCAGCATGCTCATCTCCCAAGGGTTGATGGTTTGAGAGGGAATGGCAGCGACAGAAGGGCTAATGTCACACGCTGCTTTCGGATACAGCAAGTAGAAGTTTGGCTCTTGTGACCTGGATCCTTGGCAGATAGAGTCGTTTGGAAACTCGTGTTTCCGTGGAACCTGCAAAGGGTTGACATTTTGCACAGAGGGGAAGACCCATTCAGGTGAATTGCAGATGGCTATCACTTTGTTGCCAAATGATGCTGAAGATCAGAAGCTTTTCAAAGTTGGCTTTGCGTCGCCGCGAAAGACTCCGAAAGACTACAGGGGGGGGGCACTTTGATGTCGCATGCCGAGCCAAAATCCAGAGCTTGTTGCCACACCAGGCCGGTTCGATTCGGGCCGCAACGGCCTGACCGGCAAGGCGAGTGCATGAAACCCCACCAATTTGCGTGTTTGTTCAGAAACGAAAATGGCAACCAAGGACCACTGGTCAAAATTCCGACCAAAGCCATTCCGAGATCTGAGGTATTTGAGCCTTTGGGCCTTTCAGTCGGAGGCGGATCGACCCGCAGGTCTCATGCAGGAGTGGGGTGAATGGGCAAGAAAGGGCTGGGCAGGTGATTCAAGGGACCGAAGGGGCCGGGGTTTCACAAATGTGTTCCAACCACACAGGCCTCCGGCTGTCTGTGTGTTGACTTATTTAATGTTTGGTGAACCCTCACCTGGTCCACTGATTTTTGTCAGGAGTTTTAAACCCCCAACTTCCTCACAAGACTAGCCCTTTTTTTTGTCTTCTTCTTTTTTTGGGGTCCCTTTGTTTTCGGGGTCCTACTTCTCGCTGACAAAAAAATCCGGCAGGACCTGAAGCGGCGGAGCGTCCAGGACTACCAGCGCCTGGTGGGCCGGGGCAAAAGCTCCAACTTCAGCTCCCCAGAAGATGTCCAGCGCTTTCGGGACTGGATCCGCCACTTGGCGGGGCGGGGGCTCGCCCTGGTTGCTTTGTTTTTTCGTTGTTTTCTTCGGGGGGGGGTTCCTCCAAACCGATTTTCAAGATTTTCAGGGTGGACGAAAGCTGAAACCGAGTCAAGACATCTGTTTTTTGAGGAGACCCCCGGATGCGCGCCAGGACTCGGCCATTCCAAAGCATCGCCTTGTGGTGCCGATGCATTTTCCTTTGGGGAGAGATCTTTTCTTCGCAGAAGCTCTCGAGAACCCTGGTGAGCATCCCAACAGCTCGATCTGCTGTTGCCCTGGACTCGAGTCCCTGGACTTCAGTCGCTTTTTTTTGGCTTGGGACCATGTTACTAACCAAAAGTATCAGACTTGTTTTTTTGGCCAGTTCACGGAAGTCGGCCTTCCTTTCCAGCGACCTCAAAAATCATTGCTCATGAAGAGTCTTACACTCCAGAAACGCAGAAGGTATCCCATGTATCCAGTCGAGCAGATCGTCTCTTTGGGCGACAGTACATCTGCCACATGAGCATTTGGCTCTCTTAGTCGGCGAACCCCTATTGTTGCAGTGGTCTTGCAATGCCAAAGCAGGAAACGCCGGGGTCCCGTTCGGGTACGAATGGGAAATACCGGACTACCTTACCAAGGTTTTGGACGTACTTCTCCCTTCATAAAGCACAGGGGAATATCGCGAGATCTTCCCAAGTTTTTGGACCTGCACCTACATGCCCACCAAAGCGGGTTTGCCAGCTAAACATTGGGTGCCATGGCCCTTGAGACATGGGCTTCGCCAATTCGCCGATTCGGAGGTTTCCTGGCGCACCCGGAGGTGAAGCTGGGGCTTTTGAGTGGACGCTTCTATGGGAAGTACATCTCCAAAGACCCCCAGGCTCCATGCAGCTACCAGGGACGTGTATTTATTGGTCGGTGGGGCTCGCGGTGTCGAACAACTTTTTATATCTAGACCTAGCGCAAGGAGGGTATTTTTCGCAGGTCAATGCAATACGAAGCCAGCGTGCAACCCCTAATTTGCCCACAAACGAGCTTTTCAGGGTACGAGTTCTCAAGACAGTTTGGTCAGTAAGTTGTTCCTGCCCACCTGGCCTGCAGTTCTTCACGACAAAGATGATCAGATTCATCCCTCGATGAGGGCCCACCATTTACATCTTGACATACTTTTCTTCTGCTGTAGGATGTGTTGGATCTGTTGATGTGGGTGTGTGTGTTTGAGGGTACCCTTTTTTGATTGGCTTGAGGGGAGACCAAAATGAAGTGTTTTTTGCGGGTCGCCCTGTTTTGGCACATACCTATCTTTGGCTCTTACTCGTTCAACTTGGATGCCCAAAGGATACTTTGCTCTGGCTGGGTATCTTTCCCAGCGGACCCCGCTTTTGACATCAGATGCATACACTACCCGCGAGACCGCACATTTCGCCAATGCACGGCAGAAACGCCTCTCTTTCAAGTCCTTGCTTTCAGGGGCCACCTTAATTGTTCAAAAATGCCGTTGGTAAATCTTTGTCGGTGTCCCGCAATTGAAATGTCCTCGAAGCTGCATTTTCCAGGCACATTGAGAACGCAAGTTTTACATTTGACCCCCTTTTGGTGGTAACATCATTGGACGTCCAGGAAAACTGTGGACATTTTCTGGTAGTGGGTCCCTTTGGTTGAACAGCAAGGCCCCCGGCCTTTTGGCCAACATGTTTCTCGTAATCGGGTACTACCCTAAATGTGTGGTTTTCTGGTGGTTTCCCTGGTCGGCTATGAATTTGAATAGGGCACCGGGAACCTCAAAAAGTTGGTTGCACATGAAGCCCCACGGTGCCACATCTGTTGACTGGTTGATGTCTACCAGTTTGGTTCCAACTAGAATTCACCCCCCTCATTTCTAGCGACAGGTAAACATCCGGGACAACTCCATGTTGGTCCGGGGCCTCAACACGCCCAGAGCCGCCCAGAGCCTTGGATTCAGGAAGCCGTTCGATCCTGGGTCATGCGGCGCTTGTTGGCTACCTGCATCCGAAAGAACTGCCGATAAGAAAGGATCTTCACAGGCAATAACCATTTTTGAGGGTATCTTGAGGGTCCAGGTACGCATTTGCCGGGATGCGTCAAATCTTGGCTGGTGTGAAAGGAAAAGGTAGCGACTGGTATGTTGTTGTGATGTATCGCCACTGAGAAAGAATCCCACCCGCCTGCTTCTTCTCCGCATCTTCAGCCCATGCCAAGTTATTTGCAAGCAAACTTCTAGATGTCCTCGAACCGCGCCAGCGCCAGCACAGGGCTGCAATACACCGTAAAAAAAGTCATCAGCAAAACTGTGGGGCTACTCGACGAACGATTTCGTGGAATATCTTCTAGACTGTTTTGAAACCCTGATAAGCCAGTTTTTTGTTCATCCAGAGCGCAAGAGCATTGCGGGCTGGAGTGCAGTACTTGAAGTTACTTGGCATTTTCTGTTATTATCACTTTGAAAAATGCAGCATGGGCTGTCAAGTCTACGGTATTGTCACAGTTGCACGAGTGGGCCTGCATCGCACTTCTGGCTTCCAACTGCTTCAACTCAGGTCCGCAATTTCTGAGTGAAAAAGGCTCCAGGATTTGAAGCGTAAGTCGATTTGGGCTGTACCCTTTGACCTTGTCCGGAAAGGTTTCGGATGCCAACTCGGAAGGGACGGTTCTCAACCTGTGAATCTCAAGCAAGCGTGTGTGCTTTTTCTGCGATGTGAGCGTCAAGTTATCTTGACAGTGGGCACAGTCGCTGACCTCCGCTGAGGTTTGAGTCTTAGGCACGTGAGAACCCACCCGATATCCCCGACCAAATTAATTGGCATACTGTGGATGGACGAAATCCGTTCGCACCACTTGAAACCATGGAACACTATACAAGGCTTGTTAATATTTGCAGGACAATCGTCATTGCAGGGTTCTTAGGTGGTGCGAAATGGATTTCGTCCATCAACAGTAGGGGCTTGTGTCACCTATGTCACCTCTCCGTTTGGAAGTTGCCAGGATATGTACAATAGGTTTGAGGCAGGGCATACTTCATCATTGAAACAGAGGCACATCCATTTTGAGCGGGCCATGATGGCGAAAAGTGTTTGCCTGCCATGAACTGGAAGTCTCCCGTTAATCCTTTACAGCCTTAATATCGATCCCCTCACGCCACGGTATTTCTGCCGAAACTTTTCTTCCTGTCAACGAGCGCATGCGAGCGCCCAGGATGGTGGAGGCAATGCATTCCATGGATGTGTCGCATTTGGTGGATTGCTGGCTGCACACCGAGTCAATGGATCAGGCACGGGGCACACCGGTTTGGTCATTCTTCGTCCTCTCCCGAAGAGGTCCGGCATATTTTTTGGGGGATTGTCATGCCAGTGGACTGCAACCATTTCTTTTGACTTTGTCTACTCTGAGTTGACATTGGGCACCCACTAAAGTCCGACCACAAGCAGGGGACCCGCCAAACTTCCAATGTCCAGTAGGGGAAGAGTCAAATTTCACTGGCGCACATCTTCCACCAGCTGTTGTGGCCCAAACAAATGGCTTAAGCGTCATGGAACAGAGGAGCATTTAACTTGATTTGGGAGTTACATGAAAGGTCGTGATCAATGAAGTCTCATCATACGTGTGCAAACAATGGATGCATTTTCTAGGTGTGAGAGCCAGCTGCCTCCAAAGTTGTCATCAAGATGGAGGATCTCCGGAGCGGCTACCTGGACCCTCACACTACCCGTAAAAATTGGATTTCACTTATAAGATGTTTTGAGGCTAGAACCATTTTTGAAGCGAATTTTGAGGGTTCAGGTAGTTTATTGGCTGTGTTGCCCCTGCTTGCTGGTATTTCACGAACCTTACTTGCCTTCATTGAGCGAGTTGCGTGTTTGTGTTGGGCGCTTCGACCGTACCACTGGGTACGGTTGGACTGTTTATAAGGCCTGAGCCCATGCCAATTGCCGATGGAATATGATGTATGGCGACCGAGCATCAGAGCTCCTTGCTGGCCGGTTCAGGCATTCGAAACCCGGGTATAGGATGGTCCCAAGCATATCTAGATGCAGGCATGGGCGTGTCTTGTTTGGGGGGACCCCAAAATTGGTGCTTTCCTTTTGGTTTCCCTTTGAAACCACAAAACTGGTACCCTCAAAAGAAGACTCACCCATATTCAATGGACCAGGTTTATACCTCCTTGATCGCTCCGCAGGACCTCCAAGTCTGCCACAGCCTCAGTGCCGACTTGGGAAGCATTGATTGTTTCGCTCCGGTGATAGAAACTCTTATGTGGCTTACCCAGAAACCCTTTTCGAATTCCCAGCAGAGTTGGCCTGGGACATTTGCGATGTTTGTTTGTGTTTGTTTTGTTTGCCTTTTTTAGCGCACGGGCCTTTGATACCAAGCAAGCAGCCAAGTCCCATTTGGTCTCTGAGCTGGAATTGGCCTGGGCAAGTCCAAAGGTTTCTCGGCCCAAACCATCCCAAGACTGTTCTCGTTTTTTCCCATGGTGGCTCGTCTTGTTTGAGGGTACCTTTTTCTAAGTCTGTAACCTTGACAAACCACAATTTGAGAATCACCCAAGAAGGACGGACCACCCAAAATCCCATGTCCAAGAGTTAGTTGTTGGGTGCTGAAGACTTCAAATCCGACCGATTTGTCGGTTGTTTCCCGTGGTCATCCATGCTGCGGTTTGCTTGTTGAAACAAAAAGGTCAAGTTGTGTAATACGGGCACGGAACACAAGGGATCAATGAGCTGGCCCGAGTGGAACTGATCAGTGGGGTTGACCTTCTTTCCCAAGCGGTTATTCCTCCGAGATGGTGTTTAAAGGGAAGTCAAAAGGACAGGCACATTGTGGGACAGAAATCGAAATGCCCTTGCGCTTCTGGCTTTTCAATCTCTGAGGGTGCAGGGAAATTAGAAGAAACAAGAAGCTTATTTTTCCATACTGAAATCGAGTTCCATTCTCTAAGAGAATTGCAGCAACTCTGGCAGCATGTTGCAAACATGAAAAGTAGGGGACCCGTTGACCGTTTCAGAACTCGCAGTTGCAAAGACTCTGCCGCAAAGGAAGCAGGGAAATCTTCAAGATATCAAGCCTCCAAATCATAACAAAGTGCACTGCCACAGTTGCCCAGTCTCCAACAAAACGCCCGCGCCTCCCAGAGCAGAGGCCTTGGCAACTACCAGCAGCGGGGAGGCAAGGTCAACTTGGCCCAACTTGCTCAGGCTGGACAGGTGACTCTTTGTGTCTAGACGTCGACGTTTGTTGGGTCTGGGGAATTGGGTGACCTGGACCCACACAATTCCCTTAAAAATGGTTTATCGCCGCAAAATATGGGGTGATTCTTTTTATGGATAGTTTGGGGGTACAGGGAGTTTCAACGGGTCGTTCTGTTGCAATCAGCTGGAAGTTCCAGTGTTTGGAAGTTGAGTCCAGGAAAGTTCTTAAACGGGAGTAGTTGATTGAAGATGTAGTGAGGGGTCCCTGGAACTTGTTGTTGGACTTTTTAGTGAGTGCCCTGGTTGTGGAAACTGTGTTGCACAGCCTTGCAGGGCACTGACACATGGGCCATGGGAGGTGCATTCATAACTTGTAAGGTATGACTGGAGAATGTTCTCAACACCTGAGAAGGGGACCCAGTTCTTCCAGGGTTCCCAGGTTTTCATTGGTACTCACTGCTCTTACAGAGTGCGCTAGACTGGACTTAGAACCACCTAGTCCGTGCGCCTTTCCGTGGGGGTCGGGATCGGTTTTTGTTTCCGGCGCAGGCGAACACCGCGAGGGGGTCTTCAAAGCACGGCACCTGCAGCCACTTCTTCGATGAGGCCACAGCCGCTTCGCTTGCGCAAGCGCATATGTGCCGGGGGTCCTGGGAGGTTAGGCGTTTGGAAGGGCTGAAATCGGTCGGGTTGGCCTGAAATGGTGACCCCCTCACAGAGAGCTGACACGAGGGGCCCTTCCAATTACACCAGGCTGTTTGTGTGGTGCGCTGGACGAGGGCCAGTTGCCAGGCTAGTTTCAGCAAGGCCACTGCTGAGCAACCGATAGTGACGGAGATTGTCCGCTTCTCTCACGGATCAGCATTTGAATTTCATATGAATTTTGAGGGTTCTTGTTTGGGTTGTTACAGAAACAAAATATTGAAGGGGTATAGCTTTCATTGGGGATCTTTGGGTACACATAGAATAATTCTGATGGCGTCGTTCCCCGCCCATTTTGGAGGGATTTGCAGCTTACAAACTTATAGCTCAATGATCTGCTGTTGGGCCTGGTTTAAAGCGAAGGCATTTAGTGGCGTTGGTCCATATCGGCTGATCGTAGCAAGTTAGTATCCCTGGTAAGCCACTTAGCCTTACAACAATGACTTGAGACAACCTGCCCCTGTAAGCTTGGGCGTACGTGTCAAACTAGACCCCAAGAATTGGTGGTTCCGTTGGTTTCTTTGTAAAGCAGCCTGAAAAGGGTGCCAACTCAAGCTAACTGGTGCGCAGCGCCGGCATACGTTTCACGTCCAAGGAGCGGCTGGTCCGTGAGCTGGACGGCCCACTGTTCGAGAAGTTCGGGTATGCGAGCTGCTGTGAGAAGCCCAGACTCTTGGAAGCAAAGGGTTCAATGTTGCTTTGGACCGGGTAAAAGGGTGTATTTCGAGGCGTGTGCGTTAAGGCTCAAGGCGCAAATCGGGTTGTTGTGTGTTTTTTTTCAATTATGTACCCCCTACTTGGCTCAATGGTTTTCTTGCAACAAGGGTGAGCCAGCCTTCCGAACTGGTGGTTATGAGGTCGAAAGTCTTGTTTTTGGCGAGCGGAGGTGGCTCATCGCTGTCCCAAGCAAACATGTTGAAGGGTTCTGCAAACGGCATTGTTGGTCGGGGAGGGTGGTTGCAACCACCATTTGGAGGCTGTCGACTGGTTTGCTTGTAAAAGGGGCGGACTGACCTTCCTGGCTTTATTCGGAGATTCTTAATTAGGCCAACCAACCTGGTTTCAGTTTCGTTGCTTCTTGTTTACTAGTGCCGTTTTTTTTTCCAAAGGCCCAGGCTTGGACGTGCGATGAAGGTGTTTTGTCAAGAACTTGGGCTTGCACCTGCTGAGGCAAAGCCATGGAACCAAGTTGAACCGGGCTGGCTGCCTTTTTGGACCGCGTTGGACTGGTTGGTCAGGGAAACCAACTAGCAGGGACACAGGAGGAACCAGGGATACGGGAGGATTCCCCCTAAATGCACCTTGACTAAGTTTGATATGGGAAATGGCGCCAAGGGAATCCCTCCATATCCCCGCTCCCTCTGTATCCCCGCTTGTTCGTTTGTCCAAGTTGGACCTTTCAATTTTGGCTGGTTGGTGTTAAGTTGCTTCCGTTGCAAGAGGACTGCCATCCCCAAACCACCCACTTGGCAAGGGTTGTGTAAACCTCACAGAGGCTACCGCACTCAGCCTGTCCGCAAACTCGCGAATGGCTGGTTTCATATTGGTTTGCTTTCGCTTCTTTCCACCCCATTCACCCCTGAGTGGAGATCTTCGGCTTAAGCCAAGCGACTCCAACAGCTCCGTTTTCGCGAGGAGAAGCCACAGCTGCACCTTCCCCGCTGGCCTCAGGCGCATCATTTCGGAGCCCGGTGGTTTGGAGGTTAGGATCGGTTCCCCTTCCACCCTCAAGAATCAGCTCAAATCCGCCACTTCAAATCACCCATTGGGAACCTGGCGGATGCAGTTTATGAAAACGACCCCCAAAAGCGTACCAGCCCCAAGCTTGATGAGCTCGCTTGGGGTAAAACGAGCCCACCGTGATGTAGGTCCTTACTTGAGATCCCTTATTTCACCGCTTGCAGATACCACAAAAGATAACATGCCCGTATCATTATGTGCACTGCACTTATTTTGTTTGATACCAAGGAAAACACCTTTCAAGTGATCACGTCATGCTCGGGTGGGAATCAACCACTTGGGTATCACAAGGGTCATCTTCCATATATGGGTTTGTTGTGACAAGCAGCGAACCATCAAAACAAATGATTCTTGTTTTGGTTCCTTTTAAAGCTTCCGAAGATGGGGTACGGGTCCTTAGCCATTTGGACACGAATCATACCGCACACCTTCAACATGGCCATAACTCCCCCATGATGTGCTGGGCTAGGGGACCCTCCAATGCTGGATTCCCTTTTGGTTTAAACCCACCCCATACCCCAAAAAGGGTACCCTCAAAAAAGCGCGCACACACACAGCCATTTCGTTGACGGCGCCAGGCGCTTCCGCAGCGCCTGCAGATGCGCCGACTTTGGGCAGCTGGAGCTGGGGGGACCCCTTCGAGAAGGCCTCCGGCCGCCCGCTGAAGAAGCACTCGGGCACCGCCAAGTGGGACGCCCACGTGGCCAGACCAAAGGCTTAGCTTCGCGGATGGTAATTGGCTTTTTCAGGTTTCAGGCAGAGATTCATGCACATGTCTCTCTTTCTCCCATTTTTTTCTGCGGTGCTTTTGTCTTGCAATGTTTGCAATGATGCCTTTTTGGTGTAGTACAACGTTCTCGCTTTGTGTTTCTTACCTGTGTAAGAACACCCACCCACACACACACACACACACACGTTTCGGTGGTGTCGCCTTGTCGGTTGTCCGGCAGTTGTTTTTAGTCTGTGATTTTGCTTTACACAACACACAAACGAAGCAAAACAAGACAACAACAAAAAAAACACATGCAAAACAACAATAAGAACTTGTTGGTTTTACCAACTATATGTGCTGTCGGATCAGGTAGGGCCGTGCAACGTGCATGTGCTGGGGCCCAACGAGCAGGAGCTGCGAACGGTGCGGGACTCGAGGGCCTGGAGGATGCGTTTTGCTCAGCCATTCTGGGTGATGTCCTGTCCTTGAAAGGCTCTAAGGCTTTGAGGGAGACTAGCCATGTGTGGTCATGTGCAATGCGCAGTTCTGGCAGGTCTGCCATTGGTAGCCTTTTGCGGAGTCATGCGCATTTCCATGTGTGGCCACAGCTTGAGGGCCGCAGGATATGCAGACACGGACACGAACCAACTCGCAGCCCCAGACACAGACACAAGGACAGAGACCAGTGAACCAGTTTCCCATTGTGTTAGCCAAGCTCAGTGCGGCAAATGGGATTTGCTGCAATACGACTGGGAAACTGCCCTGCCCATGCCTAATCGTCTTTGAATTGCTTTCTGGTAGTACGCAAGTGGTTGCATTTTTTGCAGCTCCCATGTTGGGTTGGGTCAGAAAGGGACGCCTCTGCAAACTGCTTTTCCTACCATGATTGTTGGCGGTCCTTCATCAGGATTGTTTGGCACTACAGCCTGCCCAAGGGTCCTTGATCTTGTTGTGTAACACCTTGGTTTTCTCGCAACCCGAGTTGCCTTTGGTGCATTGAAAGACACTGGCTTTGGCGGATGAACAATGAGCAGGACACGGATAGGCAGCAAGGGCAGCATTTGTGGGGTTACCCTGTTGAGCAGGGCACTTTGTCAAATTTTGTGCATTCCAAAATTTGTTGGTTTCCTTCTTAGTATTGGTACCTATAGGGTTGGATTGTTGTCAAGTGGTCAGCGATCCCGGTCATCGCCCAAAATCAGTCCCCAAGTTGTTGTTTTGTTTAAATGAGGACTGACCACCTGGTTTTGTCAGTGCAGCCATTTCCGCACGCAAGGTGCAGATGTTGTCCATGCCGCCCATTCGAATGGCCCTGGACGATGCGGTGCTGGCGTGCTTGCAGCAAGCGGATTTGAGCCAGGCAGACGGCCAGCTGATGATGTTCCAATGCACCATGGCCCCAAGCGCAGCCGTGCCGAGAATTGCTTTGTGCTTTATGTAGATTGCAGGGCGAAATCCAAACCCTTGCAATATGTCCCCATGTTTGGTGTGATTCCTATTGTTTGTTCTTCAATGACATGTTTTGTTGTTTGAGTTTCCATGATATATATATATATATATATATGTCTATATGTATATATTGATATACTACCCCTTGGTCAAGAGTCAGATGCAAGGCGCCCGGTCGCTGCGTCTCCCTTCGGTTCTGTTGGCTTTGCCTCGGGCAACCCATTTTGGATACTCACGTTTGACCATGTTTGACCATGTTTGACCACAGTCACGGCACCCAGCTCTCGCAGGCTCTTCCTTCATTTCAAAGGGCGGGTTTTCGGTTTTTTAATGGTGCAGCTGGTGTTTGTGTGATTCACGATCTCAATTGGATCTCAATGCATTGCAGCCATGGGCCCCCACTGCAGCAGATACTGGAGAAGCAGAGGCAATCTCTTTATTTCCCGCCGCTGAAAACATCCAAGGGAATCACAGGGTTGGCCCAAACTTTGAACCTCTCAGTTCGGCTTGTACCCAGTGCCACGGATTTCCTGCCGTGACTAAAAACCTCTTTGAAGCACTGCCTGCGGAATTTCTTGCCGCAACCCCCATGAAAAACCATGGCAAACCCATGGGAAACACATGGCCAACCCATGGGAAACCCACAGAAAACCAAGGGAAACCCATGGCCAACCCATGGGAAACCCACAGAAAACCATGGGAAACCCATGGGAAACCCATGGAAACCCACGGGAAACCCAGGAAACGCATGAGAAACCTACGGGAAACCCATGGGAAACCCATTGAAAACTCATGGAAAACCCATGGGAAACCACTGGACCGCTGAGGCGCCGTCTCGGGCCTGGTGAAGAGCTGCGGGTTCCTGGCCTCCCGCGTGAAGTTCTCGGCCCTGGCGCTGCTGCCGGAGGCTCTGCGCCTGGAGGTCTTCCAAAAGAGGCGGATGGAGACGGTTCACCGAAATTCGGCGCTTTTCTTCGGGGGGCGGGTTGGGACGTCATGGGAGGTTCGATATTCTTTGTGTCCCTGGTTTTGTTTTGGTTGCAATATTGGAGAATTTGCCCAGATTCGATTGGGGGAAATGGGCACACGAAAGGATGAGCCAAAGGGGGTTGGTTTAAACAGAGTGTTTCAACGGGTGTAGCTGTTGGGGGAAGCAGAGTTGTTTCGGTTCTTTGGGATCCAAACTTGAGCGGCTTCCACCTTGAAACGTCGCTGTGGTTGTCAAGACCCTTTTGGGATACCATTTTCGGGTAGGTGAATTCACCAACCATTTTAGAAACTACTTTAGTGGGAATGGGATGCTCACTGGGGGTACGGGATTTTTGACCCATGGCCACGTGGCCATTTGAGCTTTGGTCAGAATTCCCAGTAGTCCATGGTTCAAATCTGATGGGCCCTGTGCAGCATTGGAGGCCCGGGCTTCGCCGCTCCAAGCTGTCGGTCTACCGGCAAACAGGCGCGCTTCGGGATGGGAAGTTTGGGTTGCCATATCCCAGAGCCATGGTTGCTTGGGGGGATGGGGGAGATTTTGCTTCGACTCCTTTCATTCCACTCAAGGTTTCATGTTTCCTTCTGTGGGGAAGACTAGCAAAATGGAACACCGCAGTAGTGTCCGGTGGGGGAATCCGCTATGCAAGCGCATAGACCAGAGCTTCCTAATCGCGGTTGTTCACTTGCGCCCTTTTCCGCTTTCTGTTTTGCGTGTAAGTGGCCCCAAAAAGAGAACTTCCTGGGTTCACGGGCAACTGGGCAACAATATGTAACAATGCCGGTTAAAAGGGGGGTCACACCATGGGGCAACTGGAACGTGTATAACAGGGGAGAGGGCTCGTGATTTTTGCAGAACAGAGAGGGGAAGGAACCACAACTAGCAACATGCATCACTTTGGAATCTAGCGATCTCACAAAGGCATGCAACCCCACTCATGGTTGGGTCCCTTATGTCAGATTGGTGATTTAGAATTCACCAACAATGATGGATCTTGCGAATGTTTCTATCTGTTGAATGCTATCCGGGCAACCAAGATTGGAAAGGCAAGCCGCAGAAAAGAGCACTGACGTGTCGCAGTAAAAGAGCTGCACCCAATGTCTTTGAACAAATAGACCCGCTCAGATTATAGTGAGTGAAGTCTGCATGCCGGGAAGTGCGACGTTCAACAAGGGCTCGTTGCTGGTTTTTCAGCGCCGGAGCCTTCAAAATGAGACCAATGGATCAACTTCAGCGGGGGGTCTTCTTGCTTCGCGAGGCTTGACATGCAGATCATGCAGGCAAAAATGCCCCTGTGGATGGACAAAATCCACTAGCACCACCTAGGAACCTCCGCTTTCTCAGGTAAATACCAACACGCAATGGTTTCAACCATGGCTTCAAAATGGTGCAGGATTTTGTCCATCCACAGTATGCCTCAGGTATCCTCAGGTTCTAGATGGGCGGGAGGATACAAGAGTCCCCTTCAGATTTCTTGGGGTAGAGACTGGCAATTCCGATCCTTACGTTTTCGTCAAGAGCAAGGCGAAAACCTTCTGACAAGGCAGAGGACTATGTTCTTTGTAGTTTTTGAGACACCTGATCTTGATCCCACCACAAAGAGCCTCAGGAAGGTTCCTCAAGCTGATTCCTGGACCACAAGGCTCAGTCCCGAGGAAGTTGGATGAAAGAGTGCTTCTCTGGTAGCCCTGGGAAAAGAGCCCATGTTGTATTTGGGTTTCATCCAGGCGACCTGTTGGATCTGTGTCTTCAGTATGAGGTCGGCATGTCCTGGGACAAAAGGCCCGTGGTGCAGTTCTTTTTTTTGAGGCCGCCCTTTTTGGGTTTAGAGGGACACCAACCGGAGAACCGTTGCGCCATTTTGGTGTTGGTCCCGGTTTTCCGTGGACCGAGGCTTCGGGATGGGCAAGTGGACCCACCAGGCTAAGACCTTGATACAGCTGGCAGTCTGGCAAGGCCATGCCGATCCTTGGTATCATGTAGCCTCGGGTCCACAATGGAGATGACCAGGAGGTTCCTTTTGGGAACCGCTTCGTGAGGTTCCATGTTAGTGGAAAGGAGGTGAGCTGGATCTTGAAAGGGGGATGCGGGGTGATGCTGAGAGGGCCAACTCCGCACGCGCATGATTGTTTGTATTTCATCACAACTCGAGTGGTGACTTGCTTTTGCCTACAATCGGGGCAAAGGGGGCCACCGTTGCATCTGGTTGCCCAGTTTCCCGATGTCACAGAGCACCTGGCCAAGCTTTCCTGCAGGTGTTTACAAAGTTTTGTGGGTTGTCCCGTGCGTTGGTGTTCAACATGCATAAAAAAAAAAGCGGTGCCAATCCACAAGGATGTTTCTTCAGGTGGAATGATGTCAAAAGGAAGAATATCAAGAACTCAGTTGCTCCCCATGGTTGCGGATATACATATACACACATGTCATCATGCCATGTTCCCCGGCACAAGCGGTTTCTAATGTCCCTGGTTGAACGTCAATGTTCGCTGAGGATTTGGTGAGGGCCATCTATGCTGGGTCCGAGCCGATCGACTCGCAGCAGCGCACCCTCATGGATTACATCAGCTCTTCAGATGCATCCCGCGCGTGTTCGCGGTGGTGAAACGCGCTGTTTCTGGATTTTGGCGGATGTGCTATCGATTCGCATTTTTTTTTTTTTTTGGGCGGGGGGGTTGTCCGGGGACACTTTCCGGCTTTGAAGCGAAAAGAAGGAGCACCGTTGGGGGCGTTGTCCCCACTCTTTCCAGCCAATCCGCGAGATTTGTTCCATGGGCTTAAAAGGAGTACTCTTTGTACGTACTCTTGTGTACAGGGCCTGACAGGGTTCCCTATGTTCCCTCTTTTGGTAGTTGGGCCAAGAAAAAGTGTGTTTCCTTTGCAAGTGATGTTTTAGGCGGAATAGGGAGCCCCTTTCAAAATATGATTTGTGTTGCTGATTGGCCGGGAAGGTGGTCGTTTTTGAACGCGTGTTTTGGCTCGTTTTTGAACGCGTGTTTTGGCTCGTTTTTGAACGCGGTTTTGCTCAAGTGTATGTGATTTACAGCAGCACGGCCATTTTCCAAGTGTCCATGCACACCACGATGAGGCGCACGAACACGCACCACGATGCACGTGTAGCACATGGATGGCGCCGTGCTTTTGGGAGACAATCGTCAACTGTAGACCCGGGAACACAAAGCACAAGGAACGCAAAGCGACATCATCATCATCATCATCATCATCATCATCATCATCACCATCACCATCACCATCATCATTACCATCATCATCAACATCGTCATCATCACTACCAACAGCATCACCATCATCAACATCAACACCAACATCATCATCACCATCATCAACATCACCACCAACATCTACATCATCATCATCAACAACACCGTCAACATCACCATCATCACCATCATCATCATCATCATCACCATCATCATCACCATTATCAACATCATCATCAACATCACCATCGTCAAAATTATCATCAACATCGTCAACATGAACATCATCACCATCATCATCATCATTAACAACATCATCACCATTATCAACATCAACGTCGACATCACCATCATCATCGACATCATCAAAGTCATCGCCATCGACATCCTCATCGGCAACATCAATATCATCATCATTAATTAACATCATCACCATCATCATCAACATCATCACCGTCATCATCATCATCATCATCAACATCATCATCATCAACATGGTCAACATAATCATCATCATCATCGTCATCATCATCACCATCATCATCAACATCGTCATCATCGCTACCAACAACACCGCCATCACCACCAGCGCGCAGTCGCACGGTCACGCAGTAAGAGGCGAACGCAACTGCCCCACCCCATCCCCCCCCCCCTCAGGACGCAGTCGCACGGTCACGCAGCAAGAAGCGAACGTAACTGCCCCACCCCACCACCCCCCCCCCAGCCCCAATACGCAGTTGCGCCGCCACGCAGTAATTAAGCGGCGATCGCAATTCCAGGAGGCTCCGATTCGCAAGTTACTTAGGCCGTATGAGCTAAGGAGGTTTCTTGTGTCGCGAGGACAAGATAACTCAGAGCTTGAAATTTCACGAGTTTTCACGGCTTTTTCACGGAGTAGTAGCGGCCTTTCAATTTCCCGCGCGAGTTATTACGGCCGTTAGACCGAGCTTTCACGGCTTTACGGGGGCCAACGAGCGCAAGTCGCCGAGGACATCTTAGCTCAAAAAGCCAAGGTAACTTGGCTCCGAGTCCCCCAGCCCCAGGGCGCAGTTGCACGGGCACGCAGTAAGAGGCGAACGCAACTGCCCCACCCCACCCCCCCCCCCACCCCACGGGTGCCGCAGGATAGCCCCCCCATGTGTTCGAAAATGACGCACTCTGTGTTCGAAAATGATCCAGCACATCGGTGTTCGAAAATGATCCAAATCGGTGTTCGAAAATGATCCCCGTCCCTGATTGGCCACCCCTCCATCTTGGTCAGACTAGACATCTGCAACCTAACAGAGTTGTTGTTTGGGCTGCTTTTCCCTGGGCTTATGAAAGGATGTGGGTGCCTCTTTGTGGTTCTCCTCGGACCCTGGATATGGATTCGGACAGTGGGAGACCTGGAGAAGGCTCCATGTCTTGCCATTGCTTTACAGTAGATTCCTTTACTTGGGCTTGGGATGCCTATGAACCTCGGCAATTTAGGCAAAGGTTTTGAACGCAACGACCATGACCGTGACCCGCAGATTCGGGCGTACCTATTTTAAGCCAAAGGTTGGCCGGGCCCGCTTGATAGTTTTTTCTTCCAGTGTATGCCAATCTTACGTCTGAAGGGCTTGAAACGCCAACATCTGGCTTGAATGTTACTACATGACCAAACCCCAAGAATTCCGCAGGGTTGAAAATTGCCTCCATCTGACTCCAATACACTCCATAGCTTACACGTGGCTTGATTTCTCACCCGCCCCGCCTTAGGCGCGGTGGGTTCCCCGGTCTTCAACTGGCCGGGCCGTGTGCGGTCTCCGCCAGTGCCGCGGCCACCGCCCGAAGGGCAACTGAGCTGCGGGGGCCAGCAGATGCCACTCGGATCCAACTTTGTCCAGGTTTTTTTCCCCCAGCTAGGTGCCAACTTTTACTGGTTCCTTTTTTTTGCGGGAGGGTTCCCCGAAATAGACTACGGAAAAAAGGGTGCCCCCTTATTCTAACCTCTCGGAGGACCTAGTCCCATTTCTCACTTAGGCGAAGAATCCACCGGGTAACTCCCATTTAATTTGTGAGGATTTTCCTGTTTCTCAAGGCCAACCTTGGGGAGTGTTTTGCTTTGAAGCATTTTGCGGATTTGGGATCGGGGGTGAATTGGGTGGGACCCCTGTAAGATTCTAGGACTTGTTGGTTGCCATTTTTAGACAAGGTTCCAAAAGGTGAACAATCTACTAGGTACTTTGGGCAACTGAGGTGTCCTTTCTTTTCTATTTTTGTGTTGGTTCCCTTTAAAATCAACCGAACAAAAACAGGGAGAGGTTGTTTGTCAGTGCGTTTTGAGAAGGCTGATCTTTTTTCTTGGACGTCGGCTCGTCGCAAGTTGGTGTTTCCGCTGTGCGATTCGAACAAAAGCATGCATCACATATATATGTATATATATATATATATGTATATACACATGTTTTTGTGTTTTCTCGTGGCCGGTGCCCTTTGTCTCTTTTTTTTGTTTAAACAGTCTTTCCGGCAATCATGGAAGTGCACAGAGTGTTGGACGACTTCTTTCGTTTGGATCAGGGCTCCTGTCTACTTCCGCGCTTGGAAAGGCGGTACCTGGACCCTCAAACCTCCCAAAAAAAAGATTTCACTCCATAATTTTGGGGCGATAACCCATCTTTAAGGGAATTTGAGGCTCGAGGTAGTTGGTTTCCCTTGAATGTCAACCAACCAACCCAGGGTGATCCTTTTTTTCCCCTGGCCGCTGCCGAGGCAAGAGGCGTACCTGGGCTGGACGCAGGCGAGCTGAACTCAAGAAAAACTGTTTGTGGACCAGCAAGGCCGAGGTTTCCTGAAGTCGGTCGGTGGGGAGGCCCTGGGAGTTTTAGGCCTATTGAAGGTCTTGATTCCTTGGAGGATACGAACTGTGCATGTTGCATCAACAGGAGACCACCTGGGACCACTACCGCGCCTGCGTCGCCTGGTCGCACTAAGCCGAAGGCCTAGGCAGCCAGGAAGCTGTGAAACACAAACGTTGGATTCGGAAACAAACAAGGGGCAACATAGAAAAAAAGATGTGCTCTGCTTTCCTCTTTGATCATGACTTAATTTGGATTTCGCCCACCCCAGTCAAAGTATGGTTCCAGTTATTTCGGCCCTTGTAGTCCATGAGCCCTAGTGCCACAATCTCAACACCTGCAAATGCAGGATTTGCCCCAATGTGAGCCCGATTGACCCAGGGATGGAGGAAATTGTAGATTCCTCTTTCAAGAGAGCCGTGATGCAAGCAGTCTTCGCCATTGCACCTGCGACTTCCACTAATATCACCCGATAGGCCCCGTTCCGAATTCGAGCCTTGTGACAGGTGCTGGGCTGTTGGGGGCCGGATGAGCATCCCAGCATTGGTTGTGAGGGGCGAAGGGGCGGGGGAGGGGGGGAGGGGCGCGGAATCTTCCGTCTTGGGGGGGGGGATTGAGCACACCTCACTCAGAAGAGGAATGCCGCAGCAGGTGCGCATCGCCGCATCGCAACCTGTCCTGGTACAAACTGACGATCATGGTGCTAGCCGGGCATTGTGCCTTTTGTCCAAGGGGCATTCTGAAGTTTTCTGCTGGGGTCCCCCTGCGTCGCTTTGGAGCGGGCTACTAGTCCCCTGTATGTACAAGACACTAGCAGCCAAGTTTTTATGATGGACCCCCCAAAAAGGGTACCCTTTTGCTACCAGGGTCACTAGACTTGGGCGTACGTCTGCTCATGGGCGTCATCCGAGGACTTCGAGGTGGTGGACGCCTTGAATCAGCAGGACTTTGAGGACGGAGATGTTGGCGAATGAGCCAAACGAGCTCACCGAGTTGGGGAACAAAACGAGTTCACCAGAATGAAGCTTTCTGATTTGGGGATTCCGAAATCGTCTGTATTTGAGATTGTACTTTTACCAGTTTTGTTTGGTGCTTTGTTACCCATGAGGGTGGCGTTCCCCAGAGATTCCAGCTCAGCGGTTCACGCGGTCGGTTTTCTCCACTGCACCAGGTAATTAGGTTTTTCAATCCTGTAGTCATAAGGTTTCCTATCATTACCTCCATCCCAGCAGGATTTCGTTCGTGCCTCCATGCCTGCAGATTCACCAGTTGGATTTAAAATATGATAAGATCATTTTGGCAATTGCCAACAACAAGTCAATTGGCATTTGACCATTCCGGGAAGTGAGTACTTAGCTTCACCGGACCCGCCAAAAAGATAAAAGGCAAGGAACCCAAAAGCAACCATAAGGGGCCGTGTCTGTTTTTTTTTAGAATCCCGGGCCAATAGGAGAGAGAAGCGTCGACTGATGGGGAGGCCATCGCCAGGAGAAGTTCCGAGATCTGGGCCGTCCGGTGCTGGTCCGGAACTTCGCGGCCCACGCGGACCGCTGCGCTCTGGCGCGGTCGAGGGTCATGGAGGCCAGGGGCGGTCTGGGTGCCAAATAGCCAAAGAAATGTGAAATGTTGTCCGAAAGGCGAAGGGGAAGCTAAAATGCGCAAACCGGGTGCGACATCGCCAAAGCAAACACTTGTTTGTTTGTCCAGGCGACTGAAAGAAGATGGGCCTGGGGAATGAGTTGATCCTGCCAGACCCCCCTTGGGACGAGTTGGGTGAAGATAGCGCCATGTCGCACCTGCCAGGTGCACAGCCGGCAGCAGTTCAATCTGGGCCCCATCGCCTACCCCAACCTCATCGGCGCCGAGCCTTGTGAGATCTTCGGAACAATTCAGCCGGGGAAGCGGTTGGATTTCTGTTTTGCAGTTTGTGCGTGTGGCGTGTTTCTGGTTTTTGTTTGGGGTTTCTAACCACTTAGTTGCTTTTTTGTTCGCGGGGTGCTGGGACAAAGCGGTTGTGAAGCTTGTGTGTTCCCAGAAAGAAGCAACATCTAAAGCACACAATTTGCACCATTCATGTTTGTGTTTGAACATGTTTGGTTGCTTCGGACATCGCAGGCTGAATTTGTCTCATGTTTGTAAAATTATCCCAGAAAAGACACTGCATTATTATTCGGGGATGGGCATGTTGTTCCAGACCTCCTATTCACCCAGTCACCCGGTTGACCCCTCCAAGCCATGTCGCCTCAGGAAAACCTTCAGCCTAAAAGAGGCCGAGCAGGGCGCTCACTGCCACAGGCGAAGCGAAGCCGAAGCCGAAGCCGGAGGGGTTGGATTTGAGCCCCGGGTAGTAGACGACTTCCTTTTGGTATAAAAGATGTTGGCTAAGGTAGACAAGATTAGTTGATGTGAGAGGCAGGTTGAAGCCACGTGAGTGTTCAGAGAGGGCCCGAGGCTGGTCGTCGAAGCAACTGTTGCCCGACTTGGTTTTGTAAAGCAGCTCAGCATGCAGACATGTTGCTCCCCTGCAAATGAACATGAATCCCGAAAGGCGATCCCGAAAAGAACATGAATTACAGTACTGTGTGCAGACAGTGCGGGGTTAGGCATGTATTTGTCATCCTTTGTGTTGTTTGAAGTGCACCAAGCACTCAGACTCGCACCAGCTCTAGTAGCACCATCATCAACATCAATGTTAGCTTTTTCAAAGTATTGCAGCTCGTTCAGTTGGCATTCAAAGTGAAACCAAAAGGACACCACCATTTTGGGGTTGTCACTTTGCTTTGCCTTTGCATTCCCCTCATCCGCAATGTGCTGCATGATTTTTCCTGCCCGGTCTTTCACGCTCACCTTCTGCACACTGCGGCTGTTTGAGCCTCCAGCATCCGCTTAGGGAGAAGGCTCACCTCGGGTCATGGAAGCATCTTAATGTGTGGGCTGGACATGGAATGCAGATGTGGACATACGCTGTGTTTCCTGTAGGCATCCAGTTTGCTTGTCCAATGACTGCTCTAATCAAGCTTTTCCTTGCTCTATCCAAAATTTGATAATGGCCCTGGCAGCCTTAAAGCGGGTTTGGTTTGCGACCAGATCTTTCATGACGAATCTTCCCGAGTTTCTTGGGCATTTTTGCTGGGCGTGGGAAGTATAGTGCCTTGCTTAGATGCATTTGTTGGTTCTCCGGTGGTGCAGGCATGGCAATACCTCCAACTACTATGCCTCACACTCACCTGGCAGCTCGGAGCGTTGCGAGCGCGAGTTCTCGGGCTACGGGAAGAACATCACGGCTGCTGAAGCGGCCAATGGAATTGTAAGTTGGTATGACACGTCAAAATAGGTGGACCTAAGTGGAGGCTTTCCATTTGGTCTCTCTGCTGCAAAATGTATCCTCAAAACATCGCGCACACACACATACACATACAGACCAGTAGCCAGGTGGTTGGCCTTTAGTTGTTGCATGGTCTTCCTTGGTGGCCTACCGTCCATGGTTTCGGAATGCCTAAGACATTCCTGGTTTGGGGGAGAGATATACAGATAAATGCTTGGTTTGATGTGCAAACCTTGAGTTATAACCTGCAACCCGCTTGTGACGATTGGGTCAACAAGCTTCTTTGGGGCTACCAATCAAGGGATATGGTGTGTATTTTGTTGTGGGTGTCATGGCCGTTGCCAAGTCAAACTATACCTTGACTGCGGCACAAGAAAGGCGAGAGTAGTTTCAGCTCATATGGCATGACCAAGCCATGAGAGGTGCACAATTCCGGCGAGACGAAGCAATCGGCACTTGCCAGATTGCGTGAAGCCAAAGGCACGAAGGATCAACAACCGAAAGCTCACACCGCCGGGTACCCTGCAACCGCTTTGAGGGACCCCAGGCTCCCAGGCGCCACTTGGCCTTCTTTGGGCCAAGGGATGCTCGGCAGGTTTTGGGGCCCTTTGCGCGATGGTTCCCTCGCGATGGTTTGCAACAACCAGGGAGTGATGGGGTCAACTAAGATTGCAAAGACACTCTGCTGGATCCTGTTGGATGGCCAAGGGTTGTTAATGGGCACATGCCCATTCTCGTCCTTCATTGCCTCAAACCCGGAAGTGATGTCCAGAGGGTGCGTGTTTTATTGAGCCGCGGTACCCCCTTCAGGTGAACCGTTTCAAGGGGAACCGACAGGAAACCAAAGCTCTTTCTGGGCACGGTGGATCCCCTAAATGTTTGCAAGTATGCAACTTCCATTGGTAGGATCCGAATGGTTTGTAGGTTTTGCGTAATATTTGTTGGGGGGGGCATTTGGCGTGCCATTTTTTCTCACCAGACCCTTACGGATCTGGACTGAGGCATACTGGACCGGGACCTCACGGAGACCGAGACCTTTGGGAAGGTGAAGGAGTTGGGTTTGGTTGGCTGAACGACTCACTCCCCGAGTTCCGTTTCGGACTTGAGTCACTTCTTGGGGGCTATACCGCTTTAGTGGCAAATTCAGACAGTTTGGACTTTTTGTTGGCCAATCCACTTAGGAAGTGAGACTACATCCTGCCCTTGTTTAGGGGCTTTCCCAGGGATGGGGTTTGGAGGTGATACTGTTTTTTCCCACCAAAGAGGAACTTGTAGCGCAGAACATTCCGCTTTGTAAGTGGAAGCAACCTCCATACCTTTAAACTCATCCCTGGAAAACCCCTTGACCTGTGATGATAACAATGACAATGGTGATGCGACTTTTGGCCGTTGTAGTAAGACTCCCTTTGAAACTGGATTCTGTTTTCTTTCTACCCTGTCTTGATCGTTGGTGTGCGGATGTTGGGGAGGGGGGGGGCTGGGGGGGAAACCAGCTGTCAATGGGAAGGAACACCAACACCACCGTAAGGAGTGCATGGTACAAGCTTGGTACAGTCTCATAACGTCACCTATACGAGGTGCAAAACAGGTTTGCCGAAAAATGGGCATGCTCGCGAACAAGAGGCAAACCAGCGGGAAGCAACAGCAACCTTGCCATGAGGAAATGGTCCCCTAATAAACTCACCGCCGAGTTTGACCAGTTCAGTTTCCCGAAAAGGGCCCGAGGATGAGTTTTGTTTGGTCGAGCTGCGAGCTGGATGGTTTGGAGCCCTTGAACTGGATTCGGGGACTGTCATCACACGTTTGTTTGATTACACGGTCGGTGGACGTGAATCCACATGTGAATCACCAAAGGGTCCCCAATCAAGGCCAAGGGCAAACATGACGCCAGCCAGAAACAGAAGGTACGTTGCAGAGCCGAAGTCCCAGGGTTTGAAACAGGAACCGTTCAACTTAGCAGCATCCCGACAGTTTTGTGCAGGCTTCAACGAAGTAGCGGAGTCGAATCAAGTCGACTGAGACCGGCCATAAGGTGCTGTGGTGTGGAAGCGTTCGATTAATTGCCCTCCCACCAATTAACACATGGAACCGTTCGACGTTCGGGGGCACCCCATTCCTTTGGATGGGCTTCCAGGAGCTCCGAAGGTCAGGTTCCATGTGAAAATGGTGGGAGGGTATCCTTCTTGAAACTTGACTATTCCGAACCTCCGACTTGGTCGGGAGGAAAGCCGATTTCATCGATCCAGATGCAAATCCTTTTCTGGTTCGATCGGCAGGGAATGAGTTGACCCGGAGAATGGCCGGAATCCGTATAGGTTCATTCCCAACATGTTGGGTCATTCCCGAACCGACCAGCAAGTTCTTTGCGCACTTCCCTATGATTCTAGCCTGTTGCCATCTTGGTTCCTTGCGAGGTGTTACGGTAGCTTGCTTCACTCCCTGAGTTCATGAAACTGTAGACTTCTTGGGAAGACAGTTTTAGCGGCACACAACAAGCTTAGACTTGTTTTGGGCCATCCACTCAGGAAGTGAGTCAAAGGGGACCAGCACCCTCACCGCACTCCAAAGACCCCTCTCCTCTATTTCGACGCATGCCCGGTTATCTAGGTGATGGGTGCAGCCACTTTCAATCCAAACAGGTTGAGACCAAACATGCATGCTGCCTGGTTCAATTTGTGTGTTTTTCCCGAGTTCGCAGGAGCTGCTGCCGAGGATCAACCACCTCTCCAAGCAGTACTTCTGGGGTGGGGACCGCAGCGGCGCCGCGCTGCACTTCCACGCTGCGGCCTTCAACGTGCTCTTCATCGGGGAGAAGGCACCTTGGCATGGGCGTCCTTTTTGGTTTGCTTAAAAAGTGGAGGGCCCTGGTGTAGATGGGGTTTATTCCATTTACCAGGGCCATCTATTTTTCCAAAAGGCCACCTATGCACCTTGGCCTGCGCAATCGCCGTTTGGAACCCGCTGGGACGAGTTTCTTTGCCACGGGCCAGGCATTGACGTGTCTTGCGAGGGTACCCTTTTGGAGTTGGTACTGTACCCTTTTCAGTCGCAAGGAACATCAAAAAGGGGTAAAAGACGAAATCTTGGGTTCCCTTCTTTGACACATACCTTGTTGGTGACCAAGGGAACCCTTTGTAGACCTTCACACGAATCCTTAGCCCTCTGAAAACCTTAGGGCTTGGGGCTTTGAACAACAGGGGATTCGCTTTCCGAAGAAACATGAGACAAAGGCCAAGCCCAAATGCCAGCTTGCAGATGGGGGTTGATCAATATTCCGTTCGACCCCCAAATGACCATTGGTGACTTTTTGTCCACTTTGTGCGGCATAATTTGTGAGTTGTTTTACGCAATGGCCATCAGATGTAAAGGACCTTTTGATCAACCCCAGATAGCGCGCGTTTTTCCCCGCAAAAGAGAACCACCCGGCCCCAAAAAGGCGGGTTCCTTTTTCCCTGTAAAACAAAACAGAACAACAAGAAGACCGGTACCGACTCAATAACAATACGAGCCACCCATTTCTGGTTTCCCGGGGCCATTGCGATCAGCGGAAGTACTGAATTTCATCCCCACAGAGTGAGCCTTTCGCATCGGGTCGAATGGATCTCGGGAGCGGATGTATTTGTCAGTATCGGTGTGTCGATATACTGTGGATGGACGAAATCTATTTCGCACCACTTTCAAGCCATGGTTGAAACCATTGTTGGTTGGTATCGACAAGAACATCATATCATTCCAGGGTTTCTGAATGGTTGTTCGAAGTGGATCTCGTCCATCAGGAGCCAATTGGACCCGTGTCCCAAATTGTGGCTTTCCTTTTCGTTTCCAAGTTGAAACCAATCTGAGGGGTCCAACTTCTTCTCAGGTCGATGCACCGAATCGCGAGATTCGGACTCCGGCCTGCAAATGGGTATGGGTCAAAATAAACCCACCAGGGGACCGCAGGGTTTAGTCTTTGGTTACGCATTTTTGACCCACAGCCAAATCTCGATTCCACCTGTGGCGAAGCAAGAGCACCTTTGGGAAAAGGCCAACAAATCGCCGAGTTTGGGGGTGATGTTTGAAGTTATACTGTGGATGGACGAAATCCTGCACCACTGGGAAATCATTGTTATAGTTGGTATTTACAAGGGAATCATCACTCCAGGTTTCTCAGGTGGATTTTGTCTGAAGTTCATCAGATATAACCCGGAGTCTCCATGACCCTTTAAGAATGGGTCGACCCAATTATTTTGGGTAATGACCCCATTTTTCAAGGGTCATGGAGACTCCAGGTAATGAAGACTGTAGACAAGAATCCTGGCTTCTATTGGTAGAAGCTCGCTCGCGTACGTGCAGAAGACCAGGCGTGCGCAATTGAGCCATGGTGTGCATTCGTTTTCTAGATGGCACAAATGTGATGACGACGGCAGAGTACTCCCTGTGGCGGGACGAGCTGGGCAGGCAAGACGGAGACTGCTTGTTCGACGCGCTGCGACGCCATCTGGCCAAGAGATTCTCAGTTGCCTTTCGGTACCTGATTTTTCTTTCTATTTCGTTGCTTGGTGTTGATTGAAGATCAAACAGCAACGTGTTGAGAGCTGCCGTCCTTATCCCCACGTGTCAAGTATCCATGCAAGTAAGGATTGTATTTGCCGAATTTCAGACAGCTTGCGCTGGCTAGCGGCCCAGGCATGTTGGGGCCGGAGAGTCAGTGGGATAACGCTGCGTGCCTGACGGTTGTTAGACGGCAATATATTGAAGCAGCCGCAGGTGAAGCAGAGGCGTTGGCAACTGGTGTTGACTTGCTGCATGCGGCGGCAAGGGGCGATGCACAACATGTGCTAGAGCTGTTGGAGAAGCCTCATGATCCCAATGCCTCCGACAGAAACAGCCATGCGACACCCTTGCATAATGCTGCTGAGAACGGCCATTTGGAAGTTGTGCAGTGTTTGCTGGATGCCGGTGCTCAGAAGGAGAAGTCGACCGTCAGGGGCTTTACACCAATGCATCTTGCTGCACAGCATGCCCATCTCGCAGTTGTGCAGTGCTTGCTGGATGCCGGTGTTGACAACGAGAAGACAACCAACGAGGGCGGCACACCATTGCACCTTGCCGCACAGCGAGGCCATCAGGCAATTGTGCAGTGCTTGCTGGATGCTGGTGCTGATATAGAGAAGGCGACCAACGAGGGCGGCACACCATTGCACATAGCTGCACAGGAGGGTCATCAGGCAGTTGTGCAGTGCTTACTGGATGCCGGTGCTGACAAGGAGAAAACGACCGTCAGGGGCTTTACACCAATGCATTTTGCTGCACAGGAGGGTCATCAGGCAGTTGTGCAGTGTTTGCTGGATGCCGGTGCTGACAAGGAGAAGACTACCGTCAGGGGCTTTACACCATTGCATCTTGCTGCACAGCATGGCCGTCTCGCAGTTGTGCAGTGCTTGCTGGATTGCGGTGCTGACAAGGAGAAGACGACCGTCAGGGGCTTTACACCAATGCATCTTGCTGCACAGCATGGCCATCTCGCAGTTGTGCAGTGCTTGCTGGATGCCTGTGTTGACAACGAGAAGACAACCAACGAGGGCGGCACACCATTGCACCTTGCCGCACAGCGAGGTTATCAGGCAATTGTGCAGTGCTTGCTGGATGCTGGTGCTGATATAGAGAAGGCGACCAAGGAGGGCGGCACACCATTGCACATAGCTGCACAGGAGGGTCATCAGGCAGTTGTGCAGTGTTTGCTGGATGCCGCTGCTGACAAGGAGAAGACGACCGTCAGGGGCTTTACACCAATGCATCTTGCTGCACAGCATGGCCATCTCGCAGTTGTGCAGTGCTTGCTGGATGCCTGTGTTGACAACGAGAAGACAACCAACGAGGGCGGCACACCATTGCACCTTGCCGCACAGCGAGGTTATCAGGCAATTGTGCAGTGCTTGCTGGATGCTGGTGCTGATATAGAGAAGGCGACCAAGGAGGGCGGCACACCATTGCACATAGCTGCACAGGAGGGTCATCAGGCAGTTGTGCAGTGTTTGCTGGATGCCGGTGCTGACAAGGAGAAAACGACCGTCAAGGGCTTTACACCAATGCATTTTGCTGCACAGGAGGGTCATCAAGCAGTTGTGCAGTGTTTGCTGGATGCCGGTGCTGACAAGGAGAAGACTACCGTCAGGGGCTTTACACCATTGCATCTTGCTGCACAGCATGGCCATCTCGCAGTTGTGCAGTGCCTGCTGGATGCCTGTGTTGACAACGAGAAGACAACCAACGAGGGCGGCACACCATTGCACCTTGCCGCACAGCGAGGTTATCAGGCAATTGTGCAGTGCTTGCTGGATGCTGGTGCTGATATAGAGAAGGCGACCAACGAGGGCGGCACACCATTGCACATAGCTGCACAGGAGGGTCATCAGGCAGTTGTGCAGTGCTTACTGGATGCCGGTGCTGATGAAGAAAAGGCAATCCACAAGGATTCTACATCATTACATGTTGCTGTACGGCATGGCCATCTGGCAGTTACGCATTTCTCTTGCTAGATTGTGGTGCTGACAAGGAGAGATCGACCAGCAGGAGCTTTACGCCATTGCATTTTGCTGCACAGCATGGCCATTTGGCAGTTGCGCAGTGCTTGCTAGATTGCGGCGCTGACAAGGAGAAGACTACCGTCAGGGGCTTTACACCAATGCATCTTGCTGCACAGCATGGCCATCTCGCAGTTGTGCAGTGCTTGCTGGATGCCTGTGTTGACAACGAGAAGACAACCAACGAGGGCGGCACACCATTGCACATTGCTGCACACGAGGGTCATCAGGCAGTTGTGCAGTGCTTGCTGGATGCCCTTGCTGACAAAGAAAAGGCAACCGAGGGCTTTACACCATTGCACGTTGCTGCACGGCCATCAGGCAGGGTGCTGACAAAGGGGGAGGTTGAAGCCGCCCGCGGTTTCGCAATCAGTTGTCCCCGCAGGTCCTTTTGTGGTACATGACCTTTAGCCATCACCCAAAACAAAGCAAGCAATCCGCTAAAAGACGATGCCAGGGACGATGCGCACTTATTGCTGTTTTCTGGCTCGAACACGAGCTCACCTGAGGGTAAGACGAGCTCGCCATGACAAACATCCTTTACTAGGTGATTCCTTACATCTTAGATCCAGTTGGTGAGTCGTTGTGTTTTGCCAAGATATGCTCTTTTTGTTTGGCTGTGCCAGTTGCACCGGTTCCTTGATGCCAAGGTTTACAGGGTGGTCCTGTGTAGACCCTATGGAATCTCCAAAGCGCCAAGAGCGCCAAAAGAGGAAAGTCAATCCATTCTAATGTTTTGTGCAGAGGTATAGTTCAGACTATTGGATCAGCTGTGTGAGTGGGACCCCAACTCGGACTGCCATAATCTTCCCGGATCGTGGGTGAACAGAGGCTTGAGGGTTTGGAACGCCCTGCAAACCGCCGATTCCTTTTGAGAGATGTTCAGATTTTCCCTAAATGTTGCAAGTCATTAGAAAGCAGGAATGCCCTGCGATTCAATGGTTAATAGTTGGTTGACTTGCAACATGTGGGGAATCATTTGTACTTTTACCCCGTCTCATATGAGCGGTACCCGGGAAGTTAACCAGGAGATAGCCTTGCAAGGGGCTCATTCCTGCGGACTGGGCGGAAATCAAGCACTTGGTGTTGAGCAACTTATCCATTGGGAGAACTTTTGCCTGAGGTCGGCATATGATGGCTAGCAAGGCTCCCTCGCAGGTGGTTTCAAAGGGACAAATCCGCGAACTTTGGGACATTCCACTTGCCCGAGGAGTGGTACGTGCCCGCACCTTAGAGCTCGGCGTTTCTTGTGCGCTTGGTCTCCTTTTGTCTTGAGATTTCACGCAAGGGATTCCCAAAGAAGAATGGGACAGATCTGTTTCACAGCACAGATTTGCCACTGGCAGTTGTTAGGAGGGAAGGGGGGGGTGTTTGGGCACTGACTTGCAAGCATACTGAGTCAGTGCAAGCCTCTCTCAACACAGTTTCTGG